TCTCTCTCTCTCTCTCTCTCTCTCTCTCTCTCTCTCTCTCCCCCTCTCTCTCCCTCTCCTGCTCTTCAACTCTAATGAGCGTACATGCTTTCTGGCTATTAAAAACAAAATAGTATTCAGTACCTATGTAGTTCCAGGTTCTGTGCTGTAAGTAGGAAATACATCAGTTAATAAAACAGAGAAATAATTCAGGAAGAAAGCTCTGCCAGAATTGATACTAGATTTTGTAAGAGTCAGATATTTTAAAAGGAAAAACCTACGGGAACCAGCAGTTAGCGTAATGGCTATGTCGCTGGACTCCCACGTAGTCGACCGCGGTTCGTGTCCCGGACCCGGTGGCTTAAAACTCACGCCGGGCGCGTGTGCGTGCCCAAGATCCCGAGAGGAGAATGGAGGAGAAGGGACTGCGGCGTGACCATCCCCCCTGGGGGGTGATTTCTCGCTTTCTGTCTCTATGTCTCTCTCTGTCTGTCTGGCGAGCGCACGCGCCCTACAGTGAAAATCTCTCAAAAAAAAAAAAGCAAACCTACCAGTGAGCCTAGACGTGGCATCACGGCTAGGGGAGACCCACAGAAGCCGCACAGCTTCCCGATCTCACTGACCACAGCCCATGGCTGCCCAGGCTAATGGGATGAAGGACTTGAGCTGGAAGTGAAAGCCTGACACCTCTCACTCACCATCCCATGGTTATTCTGTCTCTCACTGGGCCTGTGGATCAGTAGTGGCTGGTCCTCTTCCTTAACTGTGATCCCATAGTTCTTGCTAGAGCAGGGCAGAGGCAAGGAAATGTTTGAGAAGTACCATCACCACACTTACAGCCACACAGCCTGAGTCTCAGCCAGGATGGAGGGCTACAATTTGCCAAATACCTTTGTCAAGGAGCCATCAAAAACTGATCATATTTACCACTAGAAAAAGCAGGCTCAAGTTACACTGCTATTAAGTAGAAGAAAAATAAAACTAAAAGTCCAAGAGAGAATTGTTTAAAATTCCATCAGGCCAAAGGGCTTAGGCAACAAAAAGGTCAAATGATTAATAACTTGAATTTAATCTAACTTCAGACTTCCAACAAAATCAGCAATATATCTAAAGCCCTGAGATTAATTTATATAGTAACTCCCCAAGTACTGAAAGAAATGCATCTATGTAAGGATAGCAAATTCAGGCCAAATCCCACAAACGAGCCCATTCAATCTTAGGCTCCCTACCAACTCAATTATTTTAAGAGTGTCAAGCAGTAGGGGATATGGAACTCGACGTCCTCCTGGAGAACAGCAGACCACTCTCAGCCCCACCCTGAGGCCCAGACCCAGTCTTGTCCCTCTACCTGTAGTATTCCAAGAACGTGATCTCTTTCCCATCAGACATGGTGAAGCTATCTTTCGGGGTCTTAGTCCAATCCACATCATCAATACGATAGGTACGATTGTTGTAGCGAGTAATGACAATATTCCCAACCAGAAGCTTAGTACACTCGTCCTGGAAGTTTTCTTTGCTCTGCTGATACATGGCATGCCTTTGGAAAGAGACAGACTTCTGGGTCGTATTTATATACACAGAACAATACGAAAGCCACAGGGACTCAGGTCAGCCCCAGAACCTGACAGTTAAGGAACCCGAATGGCTAACTGGATGGCTGAAATACTGCAGGCGCATGTGCATGTGTGCCCCAGACCCCACAGGGTGGAGAGCTGGAGAGGAAAATACCGCAGTGTGACCATGTCCAACCTGGGCTGCAGGCGCATGTGCATGTGTGCCCCAGACCCCACAGGATGGAGAGCTGGAGAGGAAAAGACTGCAGTGTGACCATGTCCAACCTGGGCTGGTGCTGTCTCTAGTAAGCACACACACCTTTTGGCAAACAAACAAACAAACAAAAAACAAACAAAACAAAGTCTAATCTGCATTATCATTAGCTATTCTGAACCTTTCAGAAAATCATCAGCATGTTGGGACCAGCAGTTAGCGTAATGGCTATGTCGCTGGACTCCCACGTAGTCGAACGCGGTTCGAGCCCCAGACCCAGCGGCTTAAACTCACGCTGGGCACGTGTGCGTGCGTGCCCAGGATCCCGAGAGGAGAATGGAGGAGAAGGGATTGAGGCGTGGCCATCCCCCCTGGGGGGTGATTTCTCGCTTTCTATCTCTCTGTCTCTCTCTCTGTCTGGCGAGCGCACGCACCCTATAGCAAAAAAAAAACCTCTCCAAAAAAAAAAAAAAAAAAAGAGAGAAAAGAAAATCATCAGCATGTCAAAGTGATTTGACTATTTAACTCACATGACATCCAGCACAGAATCATTCCGAATGACCTTGTGGGAGACATCAGCTAGAAGAAAAAGACCCCCATCTGTCCTCCGGATGCTAGCTGCATAGCCTGGCCAGATCTGCAATCTGAAGAGAGGGGAGGACTTTACCCTGGGGTTCTAAAAGAAACACAGGGGCCGGCAGGTGGTGTGGTGGTTAAGGCTCTGGGTTCCCACATAACTGACCGCGGTCTGGGCCCCTGGATCTGGTGGCGTGCTTTCTCACTTTCCCTTTCTCTCTCCCTGGTCAAATTAAAAAATAGGAATAACAATGGAATTAAATAAATAATTTTTTTTAAAAAGAAATACAGGTACCACTACACCTACATTTGAAATACTTTCAGCTACTGGGGTCAGCAGGTAGTATGCTGGTTAAGGATGCTGGATTCCCACATGGCCAACCAGTTTGAGTCCCTGACCTGGCAGCCTGCTTTCTTACTGTCCCTCTCTCTCTCTTCCTCTCTCTCTTTCTCTCTACCTCTCTTTCTTTCTCTGTCTCGCTCTCACTCTGTCCCGCTTTGATCAAATTAAAAATAAAGTTAAATGATTCTTTTTTTTTAATGATTCTTTAAAAAAAAATAAAAAAGAAATATTTTCGGCTAAGACTGCCTTAACCTCATAACTGAGAAAGCCCCAGGGAAGAAGTTAAATTAAGTCAACATCACTGCACACTTCCTAAAAAAACTAAACATCTCAACTGATATTGTTGAGATTTCTGTGCTAAATACAAAAAAATGGGTGCAACAAAAATCTACTTTCCAGGACATTTAAAGTTGCTAAGAGGAAAAAGACACCAACCTGTGCTGCTGCAGTACCATAGCACTTGTAGGGTCATAAAAGTTCCGCCCCACAAGCTTCATATCTAAAAGCTTCATTACCCTGAAAGAAAGAAAAAGAATGGGTTTTCAAACAGAGCAAGCATAAAGTTAAGCTCCATTGCCCCCAGCTACACTTTCCTTTGGAAATGTAAAGAGTCAGAACTGTCCGTGCCCCTGCACAATGTAGCTTCTATGTTGAGGACAATCTTGCTGAAAGGGGAGTGACCAAGCAGCCCTGCTGGAGCATGTGCCCTGAGTCAGCCTCTCCTACTGGCTAGCTAACAAGACTCTGATGTGATTTCCCAGGTTTGATGGACGTACTTGTCTCCACTAACTAGAAGGAACACACAAGAACCCATTCTAAGCTTGTGATTATGTCTGGCAAGAGGGATTAAGTCTGTTTCTAGCAGTTCGGCTTACTAGAAATTAGGTTCTGGGGTTTCAGTAAATAAGAGGTAGTTTGGATATAACAGGGAATCTCAAGAAAAAAAAACAATTAGGAGCTATCTGTAATTCAAATCTTTAAGAGACTGGAAAAAATTCTTCCAACAAATATTTTTGTACACTATCTCTTTAAGTACCTCCTAACAGCACCATTAAATATATACTATGCATATCTGCTTTTAAAATTCTGTGATGAAGCTAAAGGAATACATTCTCCTATTCAGGTACCTCCAAACTTAATTTCCTATCCCAAAATCTGGCCTATGGGTAGAGCAATCATTTTTGGGTGAGTTACCTTCAACTATGGAAGTATCAATTATGCTTTAAAACCATGCATATCTACTCTATAGTATAATACCGTCCAAGAATCTTGAAGCGCATTACTGCAAACACAAGGCTGAAGTTAAAGGAAAATAAGATTGCTGCTGCTTCTCACCGTCGGAAAACAACATTGTAGAAGGGAATACACAAGTCTGAACAGGGCTCCAGGATCTTTGTCAACTGAACCTTAATGCTGATCTCGGCACCATCAGTTTTCCTCTGACTTTTTAACTCAAGAACCTAACAAATAGACACAGTGAGAAAACAAAACAGAACAGAGCTACCAAGTCTTTATCTCTGTGTTCTAGAGAACACAAATACCTCAAAATGTGTTTCTACTTCCCCCTCACTTTGCTGCCCACACTAGCAACATCGCAGTGTGACGACTGGGATTAAAGAAACTACGTGGGGCCAGCCCTGAGCACAACAGTTAAATGCTGCACGGAGGACGCTAGATCCCACATGGCTACCCAGGGTTTGAGTCCCACCCAGCCCCAGGCTGGACAAACATGCCAGGTAAAAGGATCTGTGCCCAGGATCCAGACAGGGTGAAGAAGTGGAGGAAAAAGGACTGCAGTGTGACTAGCTATGGGACAGGTGTTCTCTTCCTTTCTCTTTCTCCCTGGCATGTCCACCCACCCGCTAGCATTAAAAAAAAAATTGGCAAAAGAGACCCAATGAAGTTAGAATTCAAAATGTTAAGTCGCTATTGCTGAAGTCAAAGGCTCCAACTACTCCTGTGTGAGAGGGGACTTCTCGAAGCACTCAAAAGCCAAGTTCTCTGTCATGCTCTGAGAAAACGGCCTTCTAAGAAGAGGAAGGTCCAACGCAAGGTTGAGGAAGGGTATGCTCTCCCACCACTCAAAACACCAGTGCACTCTCGGTCTCATCCACTGTGCATTTTCCATTTGTTCTCACTTGCTGAAGCTTAACGGGCAGATAGAGAATGGACCCGTCGAAAGCAGTGACGTTTCCGGTGACAGCTTGATGGTCCTTCAACATGCCAAACCGCATGCTCTTGCACTCCACCTGGGGACTGGGAAACAATAAAGAGGATTTTACTTCAATTTGACTCAAACAGCCACCTTTACCACTGCGATGCAACAGGCATGCCAGAGGAGCAGTCATCTGTAACTGCTGCTCCATCTAGTGGTTATGCCAAACATGACAACCTGACAAAGATGGAGCTTGGAATCAAGGACACCTGCTTAAGGCAGAAACAAAAACACAGGTATTTAAAAAGGGGGAGAGAAAGTAACCCATAACGCCACCTATCAACTGCCTTAACACATCATGTATATATTCTAGACTCTGGATCAGGAAATTAGAAAACTTTTTATGGGGAACCAGCAGTTAGCGTAATGGCTATGTCGCTGGACTCCCACGTAGTCGACCGCGGTTCGCGTCCCGGACCCGGTGGCTTAAAACCCACGCCAGGCACGTGTGCGTGCGTGCCCAAGATCCCAAGAGGAGAATGGAGGAGAAGGGATTGCGGTGTGGCCATCCCCTCTGGGGGGTGATTTCTCGCTTTCTGTCTCTCTGTCTCTGTCTGTCTGGTGAGCACACGCGCCCTATAGTGAAAAACCTCTCAAAAAAAAAAAAAAAAGAAAGAAAAAAGAAAACTTTTTATGTAAAAAGAAGCCGACATTTAAATAAAATTAGTAAATATGGGCCAGCCAGTACCATGGCGGTTAAGGCGGCTAGATCCCACAAGGCTGTAGGCAGTGGCCCAAATCTGAGCAAACACTGTGGCCTTTAGACATATGCAGAAACACGCGGCCATGCGCGGTCACATGCAGAGCAAAGAATACCATGAACACGTGAATACACTGCCTCTGTGAGCAGAATGCGTGCTGAGGGAAGGCAGCTGTAAATTTGAAGATAAACACAGAAATAAACACACAAAGACATACAAGTAGAGAAAAGTAGGGATCAGGTGGTCCTGACTTCTCTGATGGAGGCGGCCGCAGCCCCGAACCATGCCTAGGTCTGTTCTTTTTTTAAAAAAATTATTTATTTATTTAATCCATTTGTTATTCTTAATTTTGACCAGAGACAGAAAAAGGGAAAGCCAGAAAGGAAGCTACCAGGTCCTGGACTCTGAAGCACTACACCACCTGCCAGCCTCTCCAGGTTAATTCTTTTAAAGAACAGAAAATGGGGTGGGAGGGGGTAGTAGAATGCAAAGCCAGTTGTTTTCAGATGTTAATCAGCTAAGATGCAAAGACACCTGGTGCCCTGCAGCTCTATTAAGTTTTCTCTTATCTTCCTAGGCCAATTCTGTCAGGCTTTGCAAGCCATAACTTTATCAACTCTGCAATCATAACATGAAAGCAGCCATAAATGACACGTACACAAATGGGCATTGCTATGTGCCAATAAACCTTACCCTATACACACACTGCCACAGGGGGGCCAGGTTTGACCTTCGGTCCACCCATAGTCAGTCGATCCCTGCTCTAGTCTTCAGAGACACACACTTTTATTAAAAAATGGAGGAGGACTGCGGTGTGGTCACATGGCCAAGGGACTGGCCACACTGCATTCCCTTCTCCATTCTCCTCCTGGGATACTGGGCACACATGCCCAGCATGAGTTCAAGCCACCAGATCCAAGACTTGAATCATAGTCAACTACATGGGAATTCAGCAACATAACCATTACGCCATCTGCTGGTCCCAACTATTATTCGTCTGGTGGTCCCAACTTTTTTTATTTTTCTTTAAAAAAAAAAAAAAAAAAAAAACATAGGGATCAGTAGTTGGCGAAATGGCTAGTCGCTGAACTCCCATGTAGTCGACCATGGTTCGAATCCCAGACTCGGTGTCTTTTTTTTTTTTTCTATAGGGTGCGTGCGCTCGCCAGACATATGGACTTCTATAGGGTGCGTGCGCTCGCCAGACATATAGACAGACAGAAAGCGAGAACTTACCCCCGAGGGGGGATGGCCACAATCCCTTCTCCTCCTTTTTCCTCTTGGGATCTTGGGCACGCACGCACATGCGCCCGGCGTGAGTTTAAGCCACCAGGTCCAGGACACGAACCCCAGTCGACTACATGGGAGTCCAGTGACATAGCCATTACACTAAATGCTGGTCCCTCGGACCCGATGTCTTAAACTCACGCTGGGCGTGTGTGCGTGCATGCCCAAGATCTCAAGAGGAGAATGGAGGAGACAGGATTGTGGTGGGTCATCCCCGGTGGGGGAGTGATTTCTCACTTTCCGTCTCTGTCCCTCTCTGACTTTTTGGCAAGCACACATGCACTATAGCAAAAACTTCTCCAAAAAAAAAATCCTATCGACACAGAGCTGTGTCCTAACGCAGTATTTAAGCTGGTCTCCCTCAGTCCTCTGTGTACCGTGAGGAAGCTACAGGATAACCAGCACATGCTGACTCATCTGCTCCGTTTCCCTACTATCTTTACCTTGTCACTGTGGCTTCACAGGTCCACACCTACAATCACGAAACCGCTGGCCCTGTGGGCATGGTCACCCCTTTCTGTTTTATCAACATCTGTCAGTTCACTTACAAAGAAAGGGTTCTCCCCGCTGTACCTTCCAGAACAGGCCTTTTTCCAGGGCTTCACTTTCACGCTCTTTTCTGGCTCCTCCCCTCACCTATCATCTGTGCTCAGCTTTGCTTTCCTACCTTGCAGGATCCATTAAAGCAACCTGCTGCCCTCTCTCCATTTCTCACTCGCCCTCTGGCAAACATTTTCAAAATCCATTTCGGGACCAGCAAATGGCATAATGGTTACATCGCAGTACTCTGACATGGTCCACCACGGTTCAAGTCCCAGACCTAGCAGCTTAAAACACACGGGGTGCATGTGCCCGCATGCCCAAAATCCCAAGAGGAGACTAGAGAAGGGACTATGATGTGGCCATCCCCCTAGGAGATGATTTCTCGCCTTTTTCGCTCTCTCCAATGAGCATACATTGCCCTACTGCAAAAACCTCTCTCAAAAAAAAAAGTTCAGACAGGAGAAGTAAGCTTTAGTTACTGCACAGCACTGTAACCACAGTAATGACATACTATGCATCTCAAAATTGCTAAAAGACGTATTAATTTTACACATTCTTGCCACAAAAAAGTGAGGCGATGAATATGTTAATTAGCTTGACTTACTCTTTCTACAATGTATCAAAATGTCATTGTACCCCACCTGTATACACTATTTACTTGTCAATTTAACAATTCTGACTTCTATCTTTTCATTTTCTCCAGATACTTCATAACATTCGTTTTACAATTCCAGCTAACAGCTTCAAGTTAATCATTCCCCTAAGATCTCAAAAGAGAACACAAATAAGAATTCTTAACTTTAAAAGAATGTGATAAATCCTAAAGTTAATGATACAGAATTAAAGTTATTTTCTCTGCTTTTCTCACCCTATACTATCGGTATAATGGCTCACGTAGGGGACAAGTCAAGTTTCAGGGGTTGATCTTACAGCATTGGGGTGGGAAGAGATTTAAGAAAGGGCTTGGGGCCAGCAGGTTGGCATAGTGGATAAGGGTGCTGGTCTCCCCCTCCCACATGGCCGACTGCAGTTTGGGTCCTGGACTGGGGGCTCTCTCTCTCTCTCTCTCTCTGTCCCTTTCTGGTCAAATTAAAATAAATTTAAATAAAGTAACTGTTAAAAAAAAGAAAAAGAAAAGGGTTACAAGGGCCACCAGATGGCATGCTTGTTGATGTGCTGGATCCCACATGGCCTGGACCTGGTGGTCTAAACACATGTTGGGCACATGTGCATGCCCACCCATCCCAAAAGAACAGAAGAAAAAGGACTGTGGCATGGCCCTCTCCCCAGCGGCTGACTCCTCACTTTCTCTTTTCTGTCTCTGACTCTCCAGCAGGTGCATACACCCTATGGCAAAACAAACAAACAAAATCTAAGAAAATTAAAAAATAGGAAAAGAAAGAGCTTGGGGCCAGCAGGTGGTGTAGCAGTTACATCACTGGACTCCCACACGGCTGACCGTGGCTCAAGTTCTGGACACAGTGGCTCGAATGTCACAACGGACACAGGTGTGTGCGTGACCAAGATCCAGAGAAGAGAATGGAGGAGAAGAGATTGCAGAATTGGCCTTCCCTCCTGGGGGGTGATTTTACTCTTCTTCTGTCTCCATCTCTCTCTCTCTCCCCACAAGCTGGTGTGCCCTAACAAAAATCTATTAAAAAAAAAAGAAGACTTATGAAAATATTTAGAAGGTGATGAAAAGGGCCTATGCAACTAAAACGCCCTGAATTTAAGTTGATTAATTTCACATTAAATGCATTTCTTGTCTCATGTATAAATCTACACTTATTAAAATCTGAATTGGTGGGGCTGGCAGATAGCGTGGTAGTTAGAGGCACTGGACTCCCACATGGTCAACTGTGGTTCGAGTCCTTGACCTGGCAGCTTGCTTTCTCACTCTCTCTCTCTCTCGCCCTGTCCCTCTCTGGTCAAATTAAAATAAATAAATAATATATATATTTTTAAAAATATGAATTGGTAATATAAATACACACAAAAAAAAACCGAAAATAAATAAAATTAAGTAAATAATCCTTTTTTAAAAACCTTCCTGTGGGACGTGCGTGTGTGCCCAAGATCCCGAGAAGAGAATGAAGGAGAAGGGACTGCGGCGTGGCCATTCCCCCTGCGGGGTGATTTCTCGCTTTCTGTCTCTCTGTCTCTCTGGCGAGCGCATGCACCCCACAGCAAAACAAAACAAACAAACAAACAAAACTTCCTGTAAGGATCTGAGTTCATGCATTATTATTAATTATTATTATTATTATTATTATTATTATTATTATTTGGAGAGATTTTTACTATAGGGCAAGTGTGCTCACAAGAGAGACAGAGAGATAGAAAGCAAGAAATCACCCCCCGGGAAGATAGCCATGACACAATCCCTTTTCCTCCATTCTCCTCTTGGGATGTTGGGCACGCATGCACACGCGCCCGGCGTGAGTTTAAGCCACCGGGTCCGGGACTCAAACCACGGTCAACTACGTGGAAGTCCAGCGACACAGCCATTCCACCAACTGCTGGTCATGGGTTCATGCACTATTATGTGGGGAAGTTCATCAAGAATGACACAGAACAACATTCAGTCATTCCAGGGAAACTGCTTCATACTATCCTCTAAACAGTGACCAGTAGAGGGAACCAGCAGGTGGTGTGGTGGTTAAGGTGCTGGACATTCCCACATGGCTGACCAGAGTTCAAGTCCTGAATCTGGTGGCTTGCTTTCTCACTGCTTCTCTCTCTCCCCCTCTGTCTCTCTCTGGTCAAATTAAAAAATAAATGAATAAATAAAATTAAATAAATAATTATTTAAAAAAAAAAAAACAGTGACCAGTGCAAAGAAAACAAGCCATGAATACCTGAAGGTCACATGATACTGATAAACCGCTTCATTATGACACTGTATTTTGATGAGGTTCAGTCCCAAAGACTGAGGTGTTCCTTTTGATCCTTGCTTCATTAAAAGCTCTCTGGAAAATATAAAACAAAAGTATCCACATATTCCAAAAACAAAAAAATCAACCAACCCATACCAACACCAACAACAAAAAAGACTGGGTGAAGTAATATTTTTTTCATACTTTGCTTGCAGATACATAAACCAAAAACACAAATGTACAAAAGCAAGCTCTGAAGGCTAGAAGACAAAATCTGAGCAATGTCTAATTAGGTAAAGCGAGGTTACTCCGTCTGTTTTACGATTATCATTTATATAAACTAGGCCAGCAAATTAAAACCCACAAGAATTAGTTCTCCAGGGCCCAGCAGGTGGCATGGTGGCTGAGGTGCTGGACTCCCACATGTCTGACCACAGTTTGAGACCCAGACCTGGTGGCTTGCTTTCTCACTTTCCTTCTCTCTCTCTTATAACTGCACATGCCCTATAGCAAATTAAAATAATAATGATAAGTAAAATTAAATAAGTAATTATTAAGGGACCAGCAGTTAGCGTAATGGCTATGTCACTGGACTCCCACATAGTCGACCGCGGTTCGTGTCCCGGACCCGGTGGCTTAAACTCACGCTGGGCGCGTGTGCATGCGTGCCCAAGATCCCGAGAGGAGAATGGAGAAGGGATTGAGGCGTGGCCATCCCCCCTAGGGGGTGATTTCTCGCTTTCTGTCTGTCTGTCTGTCTGGCGAGCACACATGCCCTATAGCAAAAAAAAAAAAAATCCTCTCCAAAAAAAAACAAGTAATTATTTAAAAATAAAAAAAAAAAAAAAAGAATTTGTTCTCTAGAGAAAGATGAGATGCCAGAACGTTTTTCTTAAGATAGCCCCTCATCCTCAATATAACAAAGAACTGTCTGCTTGAATTGGTAAGGAAATGAAAAGCCAGGAGGCCACTCTCTGGTACATACCACATAGTAGGACTTCAAAAAGCTCATGGAAAAATGGAATTATCTTAGCACAAAAAGATGTTAAACTATGCATGATGCTTTCATAATATGTATTTTCCATTAATCTTCTGATGACCCCCTTGGACAATCAGTTAAATCCATTTCACTCCATCAGGAATTGTTCCACTTTTTTGTCAACCTCCCCACTGGCCAAACAAACAAACAAACAAAAAGACACTGCATACCTCTCACCCAGGAGGATTCAGACGTGACAGAAACAATGCTTACCAAACTACAGGCCAGCCAAAGTGCAGCCTCCTCAGGCAGGTCCTGCTCAACCATTACTGAGAGGAGAAGGCTGTGCTGCTGACTTACTTTTTCTGGTGCTCTGCCGTCAGGACCAGAGGGCAACCCGCAGTGTGCAGTGAGGACTGGGACAGAGGAGGGGGTGAGGACAGCCGTGGGGGATCTTGGGAAGTCAGGCTGAGCCCACTGGGGGGCTTGTCCACTCCTCCCATACCAGCTGCTCTTCCCAATGGTAATACGGAGACATCCGAACTCCCTCTTCCAAGCATCCTAACATGTCAAAGAGAGAGGAAAATCAGGACTTCCCTTTTTTCTATGTTTGTTTGTTTACTCCATGAGTGAGAGAGACAGCAGCCCAGACAAGGTCTTCAGGCCATGCTCCACCCTCAGCTTCAGCCAGCCCGGACCCTGGGCACACACGTGCCCAGATTACTCAGGGCAGTCTCCGGAAGCAAATACGAGTCAGCTGTGCAGTCAGGCTCTGCTGCTGTGCCACTGCTCAGCCCCATTAAGAAAGTCAGAGCTTTCTTAATTCTGCTTCCATCTACGCCCCATCTGGATCACTCCAAGTCTACATGCGCTTTGCGGAGGAGTCAGCGGTAGGCACCGAAGCACAGCTTTGAGATCTCTCGAACTCCAACGTGCCTGCACGACTCAGGCACCAACTACTGTGAGTACTGACTCTCAAAGCCAAACTGACTCTCAAAGCCAAACTCCATGGCAGAACTGAGGGGAAATTTGACTCATCCAGATTAAAGAACCACTATGATCAAAGGGGCAGAGGAAAGTTTTGGACTGCCAGTAGAGAGGTACTTTTTACACTTTTCAAATGACTGGCTGGGTGCGCAGACCGCTGGCACATCTTTGAGAGACCTCATAT